GATTAGGCTGGCAGCAGCAGGCGCAGGCCAGGCTTGGGAAGCTCCAGCACCTTGCTCAGAGGGGCTGGAAAGCACCACAGACGTTAGCTCATCACTCCCTGGCAGGGGCCTATTGGTTTGCTATTCTCACTAGCCTCTTCCAGATGGGGAAATGGAGGCACAGGCACACTTGGAGTGGGTGCAGATGCCTAGGGTCCTAAGATGGCTTCTGGGCAGAGTCCCAAGATTGGCAAGGGAAGATGAGTCACCTGGACTTCCGCTAATGGACTTCATTTCCTCATGTTTGGGATGGAGGTGATTGTTAAAAAGGGACCCATACTACAGCCTCTCAAAGGGACAAGGAGAGAGAAAGGGGGTAGATGGGACGGGTAAACAGCTGCAGCCGCACTCAGAAATGGCTGGCTATTCTCACTAGAACAGGCTTACCACAAGCAGTACCTCTGCAGTCAAAGGTACTGAGACAGTCCACAGAACCAACACCACGGGGTTAACAACAGTGCTTGGGGGTTGGTTCTTATGTTGTCCTCCAGTACATTCCTGTTCACTCAAAATCCTGTTCAGTGAACAATTACAACATTTATAAGCAGATAAAATGTTATCTTTAATTACTAAAAAAAAAAAAAGAGAGAGAAAGAAAGGAAAAACAGAACTGAGGATTCACTTCACTGCTACAGTATGTATGAAGCCCTAGATTTGATCCCCAGTATTACAAAAACAAAACAAAACAAACAAACAGACAAACAAAAATCAAGAAAGGCTGGAGAGATGGCTCAGGGGTTAAGAGCACATACTGGTCTTCCAGAAGACCCAGGTTCAGTTCCCAGCATCTTCCAGGCAGCTTACAACCATCCCAAACTCCAATCCCAGGGAGTCCACCACACTCTTCTGGCTCTGAGCACCAGGCATCATTCGCAAGGTACACACCCAAAAATGCAGGCAAAACAGCCACACTCACAAAATAAAAATAAGCAACCCTTTTTTAAAAACTTTTAAAACAATGAAGAAAAAGAAGATAAGCAGCACCAGCACCTGGGAAGAGCACCTGGGATTTGGAAAAAGCGCTGGGCTTGGAGTGACAAGACCCAGGAAAAATAAGTCCAACTCTTTGAATCACAGCTTTCCATAAAATGGAGATAATCACATGCAGTTGGCATAAAATTAAAAGAAATAGTCTTTGTGAAAGAGGCTTTTTAAGAAAAATATTCATTATAAAAATTTCAAGCATTCACAAAAAAAAATCACAAGAAAGCCTCATTGCACATCTTCAACAATTTTCTCATTTAATCTATAGCCCCATCCAGTCTTCTCTGGCCCACACTGAACTATTTTAAAGCAAATCCCAGATAAGCACCCTTTTCCCATAAGTACTCCAATATTAAACTGCCTTATACATTTTTTTTACACTTTTCATAATTAAAAGTAATAAATGATAGCTGTAGAAAATTTGGAAAATGAAAAAATTAAAGGAAAGAGTAAAAATCACTCATACCCCAACACACAGAGACAAACACGTTTCAAAATAATCTATTATTTTTTCTATGCACATATTAATTTTTAGCAAAAATTGGATCATATTGTATATGCTATTTTTAGGTATCATTTTATTTTAATTATAAAAATAATAAGACCATATTACAGAAAAATGAGAAGAAATTACCCACAATCCCTTAGCAGTTAATATAAAAACTGTTAATAGTTCAATATACTTCCTTCCCATTTTTTTCAATTTGCATTCATAATTTTACCACAAGTAGAATACTACTGATTATGCACTTTTCAAGTTATGAATCTATTCTAATTGTGAGAAAACAATGTAATCATACTGCAAAAAAAATTTTGAAAAAGAAAAAGAAAAATATTACTCATAATCCCACTACTCAATTATAATCACTATTAACATTTGGGTATATTTGCACGCAACATTTTTTCTATGTACATATAATTTCAACAAAACTAGGTCCAAAATACTTAAGAGGCTGAAGCCAAACATGAAAGTTCAAGGCCTTCCTAGGCTACAGAGTAATACCCTGCCTCCAAAAAAGCAAAATGTACTTTTTAGGGAGTTTATTAACTATAAATGTATATTTACTTAAAAGAAAAATAAGCTAGGTGTGGTGGCACACGTCTTTAATACCAGCACTTGGGAGACAAAGGCAAGTGGATCTCTGTGAGTTCGGGGCCAGCCTGGTCTACAAAGTGAGTTCCAGGACAGCCAGGACTACACAGAGAGACCCTGTCTCAAAAACCAACAAGAAATATATATATATACCTCAAAAGAAGGTATATACCTTCAAAAAGAAGAAGACGATGATGCCGATGAAGACATTGGGTTGATGAGATGATTGAGCAGGTAATGAGCCCGATGACCTGAGTTACATCTCCAGGACGACAGGTGAAGGTATCTTCTGACCTCTGCACATACACTGTGGTAGGTACACAAGGGTACAAGTGCGCACATTCTCACACACACACACCAAATAAATAATTACAGTAAAAAGAGAGTAATAGTAATATATTGTATAATATAGAGAAAACAGAAAAAAGGCATTCAGAATTGTAGTCCTTACTGACATTGTCTTTCGGGTGTTTCTCTGACCATCGTTTTATTCACATATTCATATATGGTTTGGAGCCTTTGGACCCTCTGCACCTTGGCATGATATTTATGCAACTTTGTACCCAGGGTTTTTATTCAACATTTTGTCATAAATAAAAGTTTTTAAAATCAGGAATTGGGGAAGTAGTGGTTAAGTTATCAAGGGAAATTCCCTGGCCATGGACCTTTATGGTTGATTTCTATTATAAGCAATTCTCCTTCATATATGTATATGTATGTGAAAGAGAACTCTGTGTGTGTGTGTGTGTGTGTGTGTGTGTGTGTGTGTGTGTGTGTGTGTGTGTGTGTACTTGTTTGTTTGTGTGTAGCCCAGGCTGTCCCGGAACTAATGATCCTGTGTCAGCCTCTTGAGTACAGGGGTAACAGGTGTGTGTTATACCTCATTGGTTTTTCTAAATATACTTGAATAAAAGCGTGTAGAGGAGGAGTGAAGAGATGGCTCAGGAGTCAAGAGCATTTACTGTTCTTGTAGAGGTCCTGGGTTCAGTTCCCAGCACCCACATAGCAGCTCACAAACCACCTGTAACTCCAGTTCCAGGGCACCCAACTCCCTCTTCTGGCCTCCTGCATGCATGTGGTGCAAATGAAATCATCGAAGTACACACACACACACACACATACACACAACTTTTTCATTTCAATTTGGACTTTGAAACTTTTCTATACACATATTGAGTATATTTTTGGAGACCATTTCTTAATTTGCAAGCTGACCTGTAAAACGTGATTATTTTTCATTGATCCCATTTTTATTCCTGCCATATAGTCCAGGCAGCTTTTGCAGCAGTGAGTGGAGTTTTGAAAACAAATCTGCATTCTCATCTTTTCCTTCCTGAGTTGATAGACCTCTTTCATCCCCCTCTCAGTCTCATACTTAAATTACGCAGTCAGCAAGTGTTGTTGAACCTGGAGTGTGAGCTGAGGCAGGGATGGGGCCAAAGGAAAAGAATCAGAAGGCACATTACAATACCAATCCCAGCATATAGTAGCCATTTCCCTACACAGCATCCATCAATCAAGCTAACGTTTTCCTCCTAACCCTTACAGATTATGTAAATTTGTTATGATATCCATTTAATAGGAAAAGTTGAGCATGCACACATCATCAACACAGTCTCTTACCCCGAGACCACACAGCTAGCAAATGGTAGAGCAGGGATTTCATCCAGGCGACTGACCCCTGAACCTGCACTCTGGATCTCTCTCTCTCTCTCTCTCTCTTTTTTTTTTTTGCCCTCCAAGGCAGCAAGCGGGGTGTAGGGCTGTAGGGTAAAGGCCAGGATCAAAACTCCCTTCCTCTTGGCTGTGCCAACTTGGGCACTTCTGTGAGGCTATTTCACCTTTGGTAACCCAACCTCACGGGGCTGTCCTAGGAGTTCAATGAGACGATGGAAGGGAGAGAAGGATCGATGTCCGGCTCCCAGCTGCCATTTAGAAGGTTATTGCTGGGTGAGCATCACTTCTCTCTTGGCTTCACAAGCTCGGGGTCTACTTGGCAAGCTGGAGAAAAGAGTTTAGCGGAGCTCTGAGCTAGCCTGGGGCTGGCTGGGAAGTCAGTGATCCAAGGCATATTTGCCTGGAAATGTAAATGTCTTCTTTGCCCCCTTCTCAGCCTCTGCCACTAACCTCGACTCCCATTCCCCCAAAAGGAAATGGGTGGCCTTTCTGCTTCAAAGCTGAGTGCTTCAAGCCCTGCTCACTCCTACTCCCTGGGAGGTGGCCAGTGGAGATGACAGGAAGTCACCGGTGGGGTGGGGGGTCTTTCTGGAACTTAGGCATATAGAAATGTGGTGGGGGGCGCTCCTTCTTCTGCCCTTCAGTGGTCCGGATGGGGGAGGGGGCTAGCTGTTGAGCAACTGCTCCGGAGACACTCCAGAAGCCGAGATGAACATTTGCCTCTTTCTAACAATTGGCCTGGGAGCCATCCAATAGATGGAGGGCGGATCCGCAGGTCCGGGATCCGGAGCCTGGAGTCCAGCTGCGTCTGCAGTTTTCAAACCCAGCTCCAGAGTCCAACAGCGGAGGAGGGGGCAAGTCAGGGGTCCAAATTAGCAACCGTAATTCAAACGCCTAACCTAAGTCCGCCCCTTCTCCACCTCTGCTTTCACCCAAACTTTTCTCACCCCGGGCAGATACCAAGAGGCTTTGGAGGTGTACCTCTCCTGCTACCCAAGGAGAGCTTTAGGGTCCCACAGATCGCTCCTTTTCTCAGCAGGAAACTAGGCACGGCCCGCAACCTCCGAGCCAAGTGAGAAAGTGTAGCGATGGTGTGTGGAGTGTGCTTGTTGCCCAGGTTTGATCTGCAGCAGAGTGGGAGGGGGCAAGCCATGAGCAGCCAGCCCAACAGGGGGAATGGGTTTCCCCAGCTACCCAGGGTACTCACCCCAGCTTCTTCGAAATGCCAAAGAAGGGCCTAGATCTGTCCCTCCTTTGGCGCCCCCTCTTTGTCAGCAAGCCGGTCGGTCATTCCATCAACAAACACGACTCTGTTAGAAGAGCAAATTCGGGGCACTTGCGATCCTAAAAGAAGAAGAAGAAAAAAAAGGATCTTCAGGTCTTCGGAGCCAATTAAGACACAAGACACACAGGAAAAATGTCTTTGTAACATTCCTTCCCCCCCACCCCGCCCCGTTTCCTTAACATCGTACTTTTTCAAAAGACCATGTTTCACAAATAGTGTAAAAACTGAGTTGTTGAATGAAGGGGTGGAAGGGGGTGAGGATGAGAGTGGGGGGCTTGATTAGAGGGGGATAATCTTGGTGGCCTTCCTGAAAGGGGTGAGGTGGGAGTTTCCAGCCACAGGGAACATGCTTTGAAATGAGAAGCCACAGATCTCTTTCAGTAAGGATTTGTAAGACAACGTACCAACACAAGAGAGATGTGCTCCAAGTGCAAGATGTTGTTCTTGCTAGATGTGAATAATTATATAATCATAATAAAATAACCTGGCATCGTGGGAAGGCAAGAGGAATCTCTGCGAACTCTGTGGCAAGCTTTTCGAACCCGCTGCCTGTTCTTGGCTTTTCCGTGAGCCATGTGAGTTGCATTCATGCACCTAGCCCCACGGTCCAGTAAAACAGCATTTCTCAGCGTCGTTGCATCCTGCCAGCCTCTTTCTGCCCTGGATGACCACAGGACAGAAAGCCTTGAAACCAACCCTGGGCCTTGAGGGAAGCCACGACTGCCATATGATCCCTCTAAGTGGCCCTGAACAAAATGTAGGGAGTTTAGGAGGAAAGGCACCTTCCAACCTCAGCCATTCCACGACCAGGCGACGTAGCCTGAAGAGGGCAAACAGGCTCCGAGAAAGCCCTGCAGAAAACTAAGACCGTGCTTGCCTACCCCGTCCCGAGTGCGAGTCCCTCCTCTGGGTCTTTCCCTAAGCCAACAAGCTCTCCTCTCTATCCATTGAAGCCCGTCCTGGCCACCCGCTTGATTTAGGTCAGAAAACAGACACTAACAGCTCTCCCTCGCCTCGGTGAAATTACTAAGTGGAATTTATTGGGCAAGTCCATGCAGGGTGGTGGGGAGAGCCCACGTCCTGGGTTCGGGCTGCCATCAGTTTTAGAAACATAGATACGGGCCAGGGCACTGGGACAGAAGTGACCCTAATCTGGGGCCATCAGCCCCACCCCGGTAGCTGCGTCGTGCCCCCAGGGCTGAGGGACAGGAGGGGGACGCACGGACTCCGTTCCCTAGCCCGCCCTTCGCTTTCACAAGATCCACGGTGACTGCACCAGCTCGAGCGCCTTTAAAGGGCCACACACGCCAGCCGCCGCTATAAAATGTTCCCGGCGGCACAGCTGCAGAAGTGCGCTGCCGAGCTGCGGTGAGGAGGCTCGCTCCGCCCGGCTGCTCCTCCCACAGCCTATCGGCGCGGGGCTGCTCCCAGCCAGGAGGACCAGACTGGAGGAAGGCACTGCACCCTCTCGGGCCCTCCGTAAGTATCCAGTTCAGATTTTGCCACCAACTCGCCCACGATCCAGGACATGTGCTAATAATGCCCTAAGCCAGTTATAAAGACGTGAAAATTGGGGGGAGAGGGGAAAAAACGGGGGGAAAAGGGTCTGTCCTTCCTGGGATTCCTAGCCGAGGCCAGCCTGCAGCCGTGTGCCTGTGCGCCAGGGCTCTCCGGGCGGCAATGGGGGCTTGAGAGCCGGGTCCCCGCGCCCAGACCCAAACGTGGTGGCTGCTAACGCCACCGCCTCGGAGTCCGGCGGGCGCCGAAGCTGCGGGCGGGCACCAGCGCCGGCCGGGGCTGCTGGGCGCTGCACGGTGCGGTGCGGCGGCGCGGCGCGGCTGTGCAGCCTTTTCCCAAGCGCCCCGGGGTCGGGTGCCTGTGCGGCCGGCCGCGGGACTCGGAAGCGAGCGGCGGCGGTGGCCAGCTTGCCAAGGGACGGGGGGTTCGGCCCCTTCGTCCGATCCTCAGCCCCCAGCGAGCTTTCCCTGTCTCCCGGGCAGGCAGCTTCGCGGAGGTAAGCCGGGCCGCCGGGCAGGGCGCTGGGCTGGGCAGCCGGAGACGAGGGCAACGGCCGGCCGGCGGCCGAGCGGGCCGAGGGGCTGGGGGACTTGTTTGCTGCTGGAGGTGCCGGGCCGGGAGTGGGGGGGACGGCAGCGGGCGGGACCGGGCGCCCACTTGTCCGGAGGAAGCCTCGGCAGCTCCTCTCCCGCGCCCGCGCTTTCTGGGGGCTCTGCTTCCCCGACTTTGCCAATAGCCCGGACTGCATCAGGCCGCTTCGGGGGGCCCCCCGCACAAAAGCTCTCGTTTCCTTGCGGGGGGGGGTGTTGGAAGCGAGAGGGGGCTCCGGGCCGGGTCCCGCCGAGCTGCGGGCTGGAAGTTGGAGCCTTCGGGGGAACTTGCTTTCCCCTGGGCAGCCGACCCCGCTCCCTGCCCCCGCGCACACGCCCCTCTCCAAGGGGAAGCGGCGGCGGCGGCGGCGGCGGCGGCGGCGCCCAAGCCCCTGCCTCGCGGGGCGCCTGACCTGGGGTGGGACAGCTAAGTCGGGGCCGCGCCACTTTGAGCGCTGTGACCTTGGGTAAGTTCTGGCCCCTCTGGGACCCTCGAAGGTTCGCGAGCGGGCCGGGAGCAAGCGGCGCCTTCGGACGCTCCGAGGACGCTCGGAAGTGTCGGCGAGGCGCGCGAGGCGCTGCCACTGGCGCCAAAGTGCGCCCCCGCGCGCGGAGACGCTGCGGGTCCCCCAAGTCGCGCTGACGCGGAGACCCCGTGCCTCGTCGCCAGTCCGCTCCCGAGCACCTGAGGTAACGGAAGCTTCGCGCTTTCGGGCCCGGCTGCTCGCTCCAGCCCGGGGTCCGGGGCTGCGGGTGCGGCCAAGCTCCGCGCCGGTGGCTGTCGCCGGGGCGCGTCGAGGAGGCCCGGCGAGCTGTTGGTAAACAACGGGCCTTTAGTTTTCAGGTGGCGAGGCTGACGGGGCTGCTTGGAGGGCGAGCAAGCCAAGCCGCAGCGCCCTTTGGATTGGGTAGCTTTCTCAGTAGCAATGGAGATGGAGTCGACCGGTTGGTGCCATTTTTAACTTTTGCTCCCGGGACAGGTTCAAGGCCCCCCACCTGCCGCTCCCTTCTCTCTCCCCCCCCGACTCCCCCCCACCCCACCCCCGCCGCTCCTCACCCTCCTTCAGCGCGGGACCGGGGCTGAGGAGGAGGAGGGCGGCCAGGCGAAGCCCGGCGGGCGGGCGGCGGGAGGCGCGGCAGCCGCGGAGCCGGCACTTGTTGCGCGGCTTTTGGCGGCGGCTCGCCGCGGCTTCGCGGTGGGCACCGAGTGGCTCGCCCAGGCGTTCGCGAGCCAAGTTTTTCCCTCAGGTGGGCTGAGGGGGTGGAGTGGGGGGGGGGATAGAGGACGGGGCCGTGGGGGGCCGGAAATAAGATCGCCCCTCAGACGGGCTCCGCGAGCGGGCTGGCGCGCCTCGAGGGGAGTGTGACCAGGGCCTGCCCGGCGAGCCGCCACCACACCACACACACTTTTCCTCATATTTTCGTCCCCCATTAGTGTTGCTTTGGGGTGCTTTGGTTTTTTGGGGGGTTTTTTTTGTTTTCTTTTGGACATTCGGGTACGGGTGGCGTACGGGCGAGAGAAGATGGATGCGAAGGTGAGGCGATGAGGAACTTGAAGTAGTGGCGGTGCCGGCCCTCCTGACGACGACGCGCGGTAGCGCCCTTGTCTTGAGATAGATGGCTGGGATCGCCTAGGGTTACCTCAGAGCGCTGTTTGTACTTCAGTCAAGCAGGGCTGTGGGCCCCAGCAAGTGCCCCCTCCATGTTTTCTCTTTTTAGCTTCCTTCTCTCCGCCCCCCCCGTAGGGCGGTTGTTGAGGGGCGGGGGGGGGGCGGGGGGAGGGGAACGATAGTGGTACCTGTAGAATCCAGAACATTCTTAACAGCCGCGGAGTTAAGGTAACAGGGAGGTAGAGTCCCAGCAAATTCTAGCCTCTTTGGGAAAATGACTCTTGGGTTCTTGAAGACGATAATGCTAGAATATATGCGGGTGTCAAATATACGCTTCCAGGAAAATAAGAATTTTTAATTTTCTGAGTTTGAGGTGGTTTTCTGTTTGTTTTTGTTTTTTCTCTCATTCTCGTGTCTCGTTGGCACTTGGGCAAGAGAATCATTTCTTTAGAAGCCATCTGAGTGATTTCAGGTATGAGGACTTGGCCTATGGTCAGGAGAGACATACGGCAGGCAACGGACTGTTAGATGCTGCTCTCCAAACGGCTGCTGCTGCTGCTGCTGCTGCTTCCAGGCTGAAAACCATCGGATTTTCCCTCCAAGAAGAATTCTTTCTTCTCTCATCCACACATGGGTGTGGCCTGGCTCTGGGCCCTGGGACAGTTGTCCTGGGAAAGCCCAATCTAGGGGCTGTCTTGTAGGGGCTTGAGACATGGAAGAACTGAGCTATTTCCAGCTATTCTGCGGCTCCTGCTGCCTCACAGCCTCCAAAACACCCTGGTCTGCTGTCTTCTTATAGGCATGCCCCAAGAGACTCTAGGTCATCCTTCTCCTGGATTCTCACTTTTCCCCAGTCCCACTTGAAGTAATGGCGGTGCCGGCCCTCCTGACGACGACGCGCGGTAGCGCCCTTGTCTTGAGAGAGATGGCTGGGATCGCCTAGGGTTACCTCAGAGCGCTGTTTGTACTTCAGTCAAGCAGGGCTGTGGGCCCCAGACCTGGGTGTTAGTGGTCCACTGACATGGTTCGCTGTGTTCTCAGGGACATGCCTGCTCTGGGAATCAGGAGTAGTGCTTCCCCTACCTCTGGACTCGGAAATAACCTGTATGAGTAAATGCTCATGCGTTCTTTCTTGGCATTGTGGGTCGTCATTGACCCCTGGCTGAATAGAGCACACTTCTGGCCCCAGGTCAGAGGTCCAGCTCTGTCTCTGCTTCCTGCTCAGGTGTTCTCTGTTTTGAGTTTCACCAGATCAGCGTCTTTGTGTAGCTGAATGGATTCGCCCTGGCTTCGAATTTTCTAGTGCTTCCTTTGTCAAGATAACCGTTCGCGTTTATCATTTCTTCTCTTTGACTTACAGACCAACAGCTCCAGCTGGAGGCCTCAACTCCCACCGGTTTATCTGACTTCTGCCCAGACTCTGAAATGCCAACTATGTCAAGGCCTGCACTTGACGTCAAGGGTGGTAGCAGCTCTGCGAAGGAGGTAAGTTTTGCCACCTACAGATGGAGATACTGTGGCCTGGGAAGATGGGCTTTAGGGGAGGAGGTCATGCGCCAGGTCTCCCTGGGTGTGGCACGTAGCCAGTGTGCTTGAAGAGAAGATACAGCGGGCTTTGTCTGGGAAAAATGAGAACAGCTTTTGTCTGAAAGTGGTCGAATTGAACTCACTAGGGGTCCTGAAAGGCAGACAGCAGGAAGGGAGCAAAGAAGCAGAGTTGGAGCAAGACCACTGTGGCAAAGAGACTGTAGTGAGGCTGAGAAGAGGGACGAAGGGGTGCCCTTTTTACACGGGGAGGGGGAGGGGGGCACAGAGAGGAGCAGGGGAGGGAGGCCCACTTCGGATAATGGTTTGTCCGGGACTACACCTGAGGTCTGAACTCACGATCCTAACTGGCCAGGGCCTCTTCCTGCCACCTGCTCACCATTAGCACCAAATGCAGGCCATGCAGGAGCATTCCAGATCCATGAATGCCAAAGAGAACACCAGGAGGAGGGGGGCTACTATGGTGAACCTTCTTGTCTTCCAGGATGCCAACCAGGAGATGAATTCTCTGGCCTACTCTAACCTCGGGGTGAAAGACCGCAAAGCAGTGGCCATCCTGCACTACCCCGGGGTGACCTCAAATGGAGCCAAAGCCAATGGGGCTCCCGCCGGCTCCTCTGGATCAGCATCTCCAATGGGCTCTCCTACTGCCACCCCTTCCACCAAACCCCCACCCTTCAACCTGCACGCTGCCCCCCACCTGATGGCCAGCATGCAGCTGCAGAAGCTTAACAGCCAGTACCAAGGGGCCGCAGCGGCTGCTGCTGCCAGTCCGGGCCAAGCAGGGGAGGCGGGCCCCATGCAAAACTGGGGCCTTGGGGCACAGGCCCAGGTGCAGGCCCAGGTGCAGGCCCAGGCCCAGGCCCAGGCTCAGGCCCAGGCTCAGGCCCAGGCCCAGGCGGGAGGGTCAGGGTCAATCACTCCTCCTGCTGGTGCCCAGAGCCCTGCTATCATTGATTCTGACCCAGTGGATGAGGAGGTGCTGATGTCTCTGGTGGTGGAACTCGGGCTAGACCGAGCCAACGAGCTTCCCGAGCTGTGGCTGGGGCAGAATGAGTTTGATTTCACTGCAGATTTTCCCTCTGGCTGCTGATGCCGAGTGTCCCTAAAAATTGAGGAACAAAGCCACCAATTCTGTTGTAAATAAAAGTAACTTGCAAAGAGATAGCTGACTGGCTGTGTTCTTCATGGGGGGTCTAAAGTTGTGGCGGGCACTCGGATAGCCTTGGTAATTCCGGGTTGCAAGACCGAGGGGTGTGGGGAGGGCTGGCACAGGTGGTCTCAGAACTCTTGCTGCTGCCACCCCTGCCCTTCTCGCCTCCAGAGTCCAGGAACTTAGCTTCAGCTCCCTAACACTCCACAGACACTGTCCTGTTGAAGGCTGGGCACAGGAGCTGGTGCTCAAGGCATTTTTGGAAGACAAGCTGCTTCAAATCTGTCTGTGGCTTCCTTGGCAATGGCACACCCTTGGCTACCTGGCATATGCTCCCAACTCTAAAAGCCAGCAATCCAGGGTTGAATCAGTGCTCCAATAGTTAAAAGCACTTACTGCTTTTGCAGAGGACTGGGGTTCAGTTCCCAGCACCCACATGGCAGCTCACAGCCATCCATAATTCCAGTTCCAGAGGATCGGACACCCTCTTCTGACCTCCAGCATCAGGCTTGTATGTATGTGGTACACATATATAAAGGCAAAATGCATACATATAAATTTTTTAAGTCACCAATCTAACTGACCCATTTAGGGCTATTCCTTTACCCTTTTGCCTTTATGAGATAGATAAGGCCAAATATTCTATAACCAAGCATTCAGATATTGTCATTAAAACATGATTCTGGGTGCCTTCTTCAAGCCCCTCAGACAACTCCTTGTTCTTCCCCTCCAAGCCTAGAAGACTCTGAGCTGGGCTGTGTGTCCCCTAATTCCTACCTCCTTGGCCTACCCTGTGTGAGGTAGGCCTCTCCAACCTAAAAAGTACAAATGCGACCCAGGGTTGACAAGTTCGAAATGTTTAGAGATCTCTTGAGGCGATGACTTCAAAAGAATGCCAGGTGACAAGGTAAGGACACTAAGCCAGATCCTGGGTCATAATGCAGCCCTAGCCTCGTGTCAGGGCTGGAGACTGCTGCCCACATGTCAGTGTCCTGAAGGTGTTCTTCCTCGGCCACTGAACATTACTAATTAGCCATTTCGGAACATCATGAGGCTTGTCCCATGTGAGCACAGTCAAGAATCCTCCTACTAAAGGCACTCATTGAATTCAACCCTCTCTGAGTACCTGCTCAGGGTCAGGCACTTGGCTAGACACTGGCAACAAGAATTAGATCAAGTTTGTGCCTTTGAGGGTGTTTCCCATCTCCAAGAAAGAAGGGTACAAACACTGCAATAAATCTTGTATTCTCCAGAACACAAGAAACAGTGTTATGTGATCCCAGAAAAAGAAGTAGCGCTATCTACCTGGGATGTTTGGGGAAGATGTTCTAGTATTGAACTGGTCCCTTTATTTATTTTCGAATCTCACAAGCAATAAGTATATGGTAGAAGCTTGTAAAAAGTCGGAGGGGTTAGGGAATGTGGCTTGGTGGCAGAGCACTTGCCCAGCATGCACGTGGTCCTGGGTTCCATCCCCAGCACTGCGAAAATCAAAGCAACAATTAAGAAATAGAAATTTGGGTTGGACAGACACAGTCATATCTCCGTGCGTTTGAGGCCAGTCTGGCATACATAGCAAGTCCCAGGCCAACCAGGGCTACAGAGAAAGGCCTTATCTCTATAAAAAAAAAATTAAAGAAAGAAAGTCCAGATATGGCTAAAGAACCCTTTGTCCTACTCTCCCCCTTAATCCTGACTGCCTCTGGTCCTCCAGAGAAATAGCTGTTTATCTGTTCCTGGGGCATCCTTGCCAACCCTGTTTTCAGCCTTAATATGAAGATGTATCTATCCCTACGGGGGGGAAACTTGTTTTTTTCTTTTTTTAAAATATAACTCAGCAGGGTCTGGAGGGATGGCTCAGTGGTTAAAAGCTCTTTGAGAAGACCCGGGTTTGATTCCTAGTATCCACATGGCAGCCCACAACCAATTGTAGCTCCAGTCCCAGGATCTGATACCCTCTTCTGGCTTCCACGGGCACCAGGCATGCATGCAGGCAAAACCCCCATCCACATAAATAATTTTAAAAATCAGCTCCTAGTGACCCAGGAGCAGCATGTGGGTACAGGGGCAGGGTGTGGTGCAGTGATAAGATGTATTAGACAGGGTCCCTCCCTGCTGGAGCATTTGAAAAACATGAGTCTAGCCAGATTCTATGCCTGTTCCCTGGCTTGTTTCCCCGATCTCTGAGCATTTGGGGGCCCCAGGAGGGCAGTAGTGGTTGGTGGGAAGAGAGGCCCGAGTAAGGGGTCAGTACCTGAAAATCTGAAAATTGTAGAGGTGACAAGAATACAACTGGGAAGCAGGTGATGGCAGAGAACAGCCTGGGTATCGTCAGTGTATCAAGGTTCTCCAAAGGAAGAAAACCAGTAAAATATATACACATACAAATAGACGCTATTTATTTCTAGTGTATATGATACCTATAACAACGCAGTACACATGAATATGAGGTTGTAGAGACCAAGGAGTCCCTCAATCTGCTGGGTGGAAGCCAGAGATGCAGAAAAGGCAGTGGTGCAACTCAGTCTAAATGTGAAGTTTCAGGAGTGCTGAATAAAGTCCAAGGGCAGAAGATGAACGTCTCGGCTCAAATTCACCTTTCCTCTTCCTATCAGTTCTATTCAAGCTCTCCACTGATTAGACGATGCTTAGTCACACACTCATTACTCAACCTGCTGATTATTTAAAATGCCAGTCTCTCATAGCCACATCCAGAGATGAAATTTGACTAGCTGTATGGGCGTCCTTAGCTCCCCTGTAGTTACTACCATCACACCTAGAGAAGGAGCTTCCGCGAGGAAGAGAGCAACCCTGCCTCCTGGTGTCAGCAGCCAAGAAGTGTGGTCACCTGAGCAGGCTCTCGGGATCACCTGAGCAGACCGGAAGGGGGAAGGGAGGCAGGGTGCATCTTCCAGAGAGAGCCAGGCCTACTAGGGGAGGAAAGGGACAGCGTGGACAGGAAAGGACACGGTGGAGGACAGTTGCGCAAATCTCCATTCCTGCCCCACTGGTTCACGTGTCGGCCTTCTTCACAGCCAGACGCCTTCATTTATTAGGTTACCATGAAGTTCCAGGGGCAGACCCCAGGCTCCCTCAGCTTAGGCCCTAGTGCACACAGAGAAGGAGTACAGCCTGCTGGCAAGGGCCCCCGCAGCCTGGAACAGATAACAATGGACAGGTAACAATGTCTCCAAGAGCCCAGTGGCTATCCTGTTCCCTAGGGATAAGCTAGAGGAGACCCGGTCCCTGATTACAAGGAACTCCCAGTTCCGGGGCAGTCATGGCCTTGAAGGATGAATCGGACTTGCACATGGCAGCAAAAGCACGGAGGGTGGGAGCACAGCCTCCCCAATCAGAGGAACAAATGGAACATTACCAAGAAGATAGAACGGGGGCTGCTGGAAACCAGAACAAAGCCCCAGAAAAAAACAAGCTCGAAATGAGGAGGCTTTTTCAAGGACACAAAGCCCAGAAGCTAGGGAAAACAGTGATATATTTAACTACATTATTTAGCTGCATTTTTGTGGGGGGTTGCTTTTGGTTTGCTGAGGCAGGGTCGCACTCTACAGCCCCACCTGGCCTTGAGTTCACTATGCAGTCCAGGCCGGCCTTGGGTTCACGGCAAACCTCCTGCCTCACCCTCCCAAGGACTGGAATTGCAGGCATGCACCGCCACTCCAAAATTTAAGTGCATTTTTAAAAACTATATGGTCTCTACGCCCTTGCCTCTAATCCCAGCACTGCAGAGGTAGAAGAGGATCACAAGTTCAAGTCCAACCTGAGCTACATAAAAAGACAAAGTGTTGAGAAAATATTCATAGTAAAATACACACACACATGCATTGTAAAAGTCAGCCATAGTAAGTGCACACCTTTAAATTTCAGTACTCCTGAGGCAGAGGTAAGCAGATCTCTGTGACTTCAAGATCAGACGGGTATACACAATTGAGTTCCAGGCCTCACAAAGGGGACCCTGTTTCGTTTGTTTATTTTTTAGGTTTCTTGAGACAGGGTTTCTCTGTGTAGCTTTGGTGTCTGTCTTGAATCTCATTCTGTAGACCAGGCTGGCCTCGAACTCACAGAGATCCAGCTGGCTCTGCCTCTTGAGTGCTGGCATTAAAGGCATGTGCCACCACCGCCCGGCCCTCTTTCTCTCTTAAAATCTGGGCAGTGGTGGTGCACCCCTTTAACCTCAGCACTCAAGAGACAGAGGCAGAGGGATCTCTGTGAGTTCAAGGCCAGCCTGCTCTACAGAGTGAGTTCCAGGACAGCCAGAACTGTAGACAAAGAAACCCTGTCTCTAAAAAGCAAACAAACAAGCAAACAGACAAACACACATACAAACAATACAGAATTCATTTTGTATTGTCAAACTACTCCTGAGCATAAGGCCTGCCCTGCTGTGTGGTTCGATGAACCCAGTGTTACACCATTGGGGGAAAAAACTGATCCTTCCCTCTCCTAACAACAATTGATTCCAAATAGTTTCTTGGCCAGGAGTGGGACTTGGTGCCCACTTCTCTTTCTCTGTGCTGGCATTTTGTCTGGCTTGGATCTGTGCAGGTCCTGTGCATGCTGTCACAGTCTCTGTGAGTTCGTATGTGCATCAGCCCTGTTGTGTCTGGAAAACTTCCTTGGAGCCATCCATCCACCACCTCTGGCTCTTAAAAAAATCTTTCTGTCTCCTCTTCTACATAGATCCCTGGGCCTTGAGGGGAGGGGTTCGATGAAGACATCCCATGGAGGACTGAGTGCTCCAAAGTCTGTCGTTCTCTGCACATTGTCCAGTTGTAGGCCTGTGCTAATTCCTATCTACTACCAGAAGAAGCTTCTCTGATGAACGCTGGGGCTGGGTCCCCAGATAATGAAGTGGAACTTCTGGCTCGAGAAAAAGATTATATAGACTTACCGTTCCCTGCTTCTCTCCACGAAGTACAGTTAGATACCTTAGACAGAAAACAAGAAAGAGAAAAATAGACTGGCCAGGAGCCCCAAGACTTGAGGAGCAACAA